AAATTAAATTCAGAGACGGTTTTTGGGGTGGGTGGCAGGGGAAATCGCCCCCCTAAATGTACTGCTTTAACAGAAAAAAAGCTCAAATTGGGGCCACGTCCCTTTTTATAATCCCGCACTCGTCAGTAATGTAGCTTTTTCTATTTTCGCCCCCTCTCAGTAGATCCAAAACAGTCCCAAATCGATTAACGATAATTAATAATTTTTATTTTCATTTTTTAGGTAGCCTTTACTAATTTAAACATTATTGTCACTTTTTCAATGGAACTTTAAATCTGCAAATAAAAATTATTTGCTTTTAAAACTGCCGAGATAAGATAAGTTAGATACCCATAAAAAATGAGCACCCTGAATATTTTCTTTAAACTATATTTTAGAGTTTTGCTTTAAAGGCACCATTACTTTATCTTCTCAGATTAAAGGAAACCCAAATAAATTTAAATTATTCCGAAGCATAATATACCTAACACGGATTTGGAACATTTCCAGCCATTTCTTATTGCCTATACAATTCCTTGCAAGGTACACTGCATGTTCAAGCCAACTGTATTAAATTTAAGCCACTAATACTAATTTTTGGCAATGTTAACTTTTAACTTTGCCCTAAAAATGGCTGCTTGAATAAATGTAATAAATAAATTATAATTACATTGACATTTCAATTTAATCAATTAATTATTTAACATTTTTAATCAATGTTTCTGCTGTTTGTAGTAAATTACTAAAATATTTCTGGAAGCGAAATATTTTATAATTTTTTATGTTGTAACTGCGCTCAGGAGCAATAAAGATTTTATGATTTTTTAAAATTCATTAAAGGGTTTTTCTTTTAGGATATTTACGAGACTTCATATTTTGCATGTCAATGCATTTCAATAGGGGATTTGACACTTATGTTTATTCATTAAATCAATTTTGTTATTATGTACCACACAAAGAAGTTTGTATGTAAAAACAATATATGGAATATAAATTCCATAATTTTTAAAATAACAAATATCAAGAATTTAGTCTTTTTAGATTAAAATAACCTTAAAGGCATATTTTTGCAAGATAAAAATTCTATTACTATTTCTAGCAAGACCCCAGTATAAAATGGTAAAACTCAAAATGGTTAAAATATTTGCAAATAAACATTAAGAAGACCTGAACTTTTGAATTTGTTCCTTAGGCTATTTAATTGATAGATGAAAGTAAAAGATTTATCTATTATAATAGATAGTATACTATTCCTAAACATTTGGAAGAATTCGAGAAATTAATTTATTGATTTAATTTTTTTAGGATTAACATAGGATAATTGAATTTACACAGTTTTTTGACATTAATTATTAATGTATTTTTAAAACATCAGTTGCTAAATAGTTAGTATTCATGTGTAGCTCACTTAAAGGTTAGTATTCTAGGGTTAAAAATTATGATATTTTGTTCAAATCATAAATTTTATCAAACACGCTCAAAAATAAAACCATTTGTAGTCTTCCATCAAAGCAGTCGTTTTATTCACTTTTAATGTTTGGACGTTCTTATTGGCAAACCTTTTGTTAGCAATTTAAAATGGATTCCACGTTCAAAAAACTACGTCCGCGCAGAATTGATTTCCCTTATAATTCAACTTTTTATTTTTGTACTTGTATTGCAATGCCTATGTTCTGTAGCATGAAAAGAATTTTTGCAGTTTACTGATTTAGTATTTGATAAATTAATACCCAAGGCAAAAATATTTTAACAATAAAATGATTTCGATTTTCGAATTGTTTTATTTATTTATGGAATAAGCTAGACGCCTACATTTTTAATTTTAAAATAATCAATAATAAAACAATTTTAACGAAAAGGTTGCTAGCCAGAATTGGAACAGCTGATAGGAATAGCTCCCACGAGATACTGATAATTTAATAGAAGTTTTATGTAAAGTTTTCATCGAGTCTACCTACCAGACAAAAAGTTTTTTGTCACTTGGGAATATTATACCCGTTATGATAACAAACATATGCATTTTTTTAAATACAGGATAAGAATAAAAAAGTATAAACAAACTGTTTTGTTAAGAATAACTTCCTATTGTTTAAATTGATTTACACATGGAAAAAATAAAATAGTAACCATTGATGCTCATAACAGAAAGGCAGCCAAGATACTATTTAAAATCATAAAAATGTAAATATACAGGATGTCTTATTAAAAAAATGTTTTTTGTAAGAATATTTTAACTCGACGTTTAAATGTTTTCTATTCTTACCATTTTAATCAGTAAAAAAATGCCACCAATTTGCCTATTTAACCCACTTTATGGCACTAATAATAATGGAGTTAGCAATGGTTAACACTTAATACACGGTGTTTAATATGTATACAGGGTACAGCGAGTATCCTACTATGTATGGGTATATTTAGGGGTTAAATTAAAGAAAAGTTTCAATTCTATTAAAATGACACTTAAAAATTAAAAAAATTAGCGGTTCTGAAATAATTTGGAAAAAACTGTAAACCTGTTAAAACCAAAAATTGTCCTGCGAATTCTAAAAAAAGTAAGTTAACTTACTTTTTTCACATGTAAACATACGTTTTTCTATATATTTTCTATTTATTCATTTTCATTCACTTTGAAATAAACAAAAAGTTTAAAAAAAATCATAAATTTTCAAAAAATTTCGAAAAGAGGATCAGCTAGGATTTTGGTAAATATCATTTTTAATTCACCAAAGGGTCCCGAACAAGAAACTGCAATCAGTTTTTGGCGTCATTTTTATGTCTTATGACTTAAACTTCGTTCAGGCACACCGTGACTTGATTTTGACCATCTTTTGTTTTTCCTATGGCCGCCAAATTGTTATTTTACATGGTTAGTTAAGAAAAAAAATAATAAATCAAACTATGTATCAAAATATATAAGTTATGGCAGCCATTATAAAATATGGTGATTGTAACTCAAAATTTAGGAGCGAAGAAATTGGATAAAAATGTGGATTACTGTGTATGTTTATAAGTAAAACTTTTTTAATTTTTGGAAATAAAGTAGTTTTTTTGGTTTTAAAATGTTTTATTTTTACAGGGTGTCTCAAAAGTTAAGGAGAGCAGAAAAGGGGCGAATGTGGCCCGATCATTCTTTAACACATCGGTACCTTAGAATAACAAGGTTCTAAGTGCAGCTGAACTGTTATGCAAAAATGACTTATCTACAATATTATAAATATTGCAGATAAGCCATTTTTGACTTATCTGCACCTAGAACCCTCTCATTCTAAGGTACCTACAATGTAGGTCCTACATATATGTAATTCCACATTCGTAATAGAAGTAAAAAAAAATATTTTTTCTTGTTTTACAGTGTAGGTAATCTAAGACACTTTCACTTAGAACACAAACGGTCAAATATCGGTGTATCTGCGGGCATAAAAGAGGTATCCCAACAGGGCAGTCAAGAAATACTGAACCTGGGAAAAGAGATTACCGATCTTTAAGCGGGCATCAACTGGGTATCCAACGAATGAGGGAGAGCAATCCCACGGAGAAGTTGCTCTCCATCATTACACACGAACCAGAACCAATCTGGGCACTTGAATGACTGAAAGACGTAACGGCATTAACCGAAGCACAAAACCAGATAACTCTTATCCTGATGCAAGGAGAAGGCAGAGGCAGTTCGTTGAGGTGGAAGCCAAACGTCGCAGCTGATGAAGCATGAAACCATGCTGATTTTGCCGGAACCCACATGCGGCACCAGTCAAAAATCATCCAGGAAAAAACTAATTGGCTGGACAGAACTTCAGCACAAATAATACTGGGAAATCCTGTCTGTACTGGAGCATTCGAAAGCATTCTGCTGAAGGGCGGAAATCAATAAGGACATATACCAGGACCCAACTAAAGAAAGCATTAGGCATTCTCACAGGCCATGCTCCCTTCAAAAAACATTTTCACAAAATGGGGATGACAGATGACCCATTGTGCAGAGGATGTGAAGAAGAAGAGGAAATATCTCTTTACATTATGTGTCAATGTGAGGGATTTAACACCTTAAGAAGAACACACCTGGAAGAGTCTAAACTCACACCACCACTTTTAAAATTGCTTCCACTGGCTCGGATACTGCGCTTCATAGAAGCAACGGAGCTAGAGCTATGGAAGTAATACCATTTAGGGCACAACAGGATTGCAAAAGCAAACCGCAGTGCAGGGCTTTGAACCACCTAACGAGGGAGTTTTGGTGCTAAATGTAAAGTAAATAATAAATAATTCAATTCTTTTGTTCTGTAAAATTATCCCACATATAACATTTTGTGAAGTAGGTTTATTTAGAAAGGTTGGTTGCCGTTACAAAAATTCCCACGTGATACATTTAAAAAAAATAAAAAATAACTTTTTATGTGAAATTTTGTCATTTGCAATAATAAAAGTTGTAATTTCACAAAAATTAAAAATGTTAATTTTTTTTTATTTATACGATTTTTATAAATAATGAAAAATTTTATCCAATATTCATAAAACTTTTCAATATACGTTCCATTAAATCATTTATTCAAATAATTAAGCGCAAAATGTCAGCAAAATTAATATTGCGTTAACAATAGAACTAACCAATTTCATATTGTATGGTGGAATTGTATAAGAGTGCTGAGAATAAAAGTTTGCTAGGTGTTAGGATAGGATGTAATTTTATACAATGTAAATCTTTTACAAAAATAACATCTTTATACAATACCTACCAAACTACCATGAGATACGCACAATTTAAAAACTGATATTACTGAATGTATAATTAGTAAAAACTACTTTATTAATAAACTTGTTATTATATGTTTATTTTAAGTCGTTTTATTAAAAATGCCTAAACTTACGGCACATTACCCTACATATGTATTCAAAAACTTCAGATCGATCGGTCGAATAAATATTTAAACGGTTTTAATCCGCTCGTGCAAAACTGGCGGCGCATAGCGTCGTCATCGGAATATTCGAAAAATATGCTAATACATTTATATATAAATTTAACTCACCTCTTTGCAATCCCATTTGGGGCTGGTACATATGGTGACCACGGATAAATTTTGCGGTCTATTCAGCCAAACTACGGATATTTCAGTCAAGCTGATCCACGATACGGCGGTGAAGTAATAGTCACTGCAACAAATAAATACAAATTTGATTTATTGATGAATTCATAAATTAAACCAACATTATATTGTTAAAATCACTTTTTAAACATGGGCGCCGGCAGAAAAAAAATAGATAAAATTACGTGCAATTTAAAGTATCTGAAGGGCGTTCCAACAAGACGGATCGATGTTAACAGTAAATAGCACAATGATATGAAAAAAAAAAGATTTCTTTATTGAATGACATATCCGCATCATTGTTCCTCGATCTCAACAATATGCCATATTATCTCGTCCTTTAGCTGTTAAATTCTTCTTGTCTTGTCGACATAAAAATTTTTCCTAAAATTAATTCGAAGGAGGATTGTTGTGATTTGCAAAATGATTTAAATAATGTTGCGCATTGGTGTGCACAAAACTATCTACATCTAAATACAACTAAATGTAAAGCAATGACATTTTCCAGAAAGAAAAATGTTATTATTAGTGAATACAGTATTGACAACTGCAAATTAGAAAAAGTTTCGGCTTTTAGGGATCTAGGTGCAGAGTTTGATCCCGAGTTAAATTTTATTACACATATAGAAAAAACTATAAACTCGTCACTAGGCTTTCTGATTCGAAACACAAGAACTTTTAAAAATGAGAAAACTTTTAAGACCCTTTATTTTGCTTTTGTTAGATCTAAACTGGAATATGCCTCATTAATTTAGAATACAATTTATGAAGCTCATAAAATGGGCTTGGAAGGAGTGCAGCGGAAATTTCTTAAATTGCTTCATTTTAAAATATATCCTTTCCAAGGATTGGATCATGTACTACTTTTTATATTATTTAATATTAATTCCTTGGATATGAGAAGAATGATTGTCTTTGTGACTTTTTTGTATAACATTGTTAATGCCAAAGTTGATTGGTAAATCTTATTGGAAAAATTAAATTTTAATATATATATACTTCGTATAAACTCTAGAAATCAAATAACGTTTAGAAATGATAGAGCTAGGACCAATATTGCGAATAAATCACCGATTTACTATATGTGTCAAAATTTCAATAGGATTCCTAAACACTGTGATGTTAATTTTAATACTTTAAGTGTCATATGCACATGTACCTGTTATATACTTTTTTATTATTATTAATGTATATATACATATATGTTGAATATGAATGTACTGTAATGGTTTTACTGTTGGGCAATAAAGATATATTATTATTATTATTATAGACCTTTCTCTTAAGATAACCCCAAAGGAAGAAATGGCCAATTAACCTCGTTGGAATGTGGCACTATCCTGTTTAAACAAGAAAGCGTCGATAAATAAATATCAATAGCATCCAATTCTTCTCATAAAAATTGCATCAATTCACGGTTACAAGAACTCCCCCTAAATTTGTCTCAGCAACTGATATTATCTTTCACACATAATTGTCAGGTACCAAATAACATAACATTTTTTTTATAAATAGTTATGTTTTATTCAATGTAAACATCGATACGTCTATTCTATAGTATATTAATTTTACAGTGGGGGCAACTGCCCCTTTATGCTCCCTGTCGGCTTTTGATTAGGTCTTACTCCAAAAATATAAATAACACGTTTTGGTACGAAATAATTGTTATTCACAGAACTTATCAATATACCTAATTATTATTAAAAGTAACTACCAATCTTCCTCTTCAAAATCCATTTTAAATTTATTCAACATATTTTCTACTCTCCCACAAATGATTAGAATAGTTACTAAAAAATTTCAACTCACAATTATAATTTACTATGTATAAACATTTTTAAGTTTTTAGTTATAATTTTATTCACAAAATTATAATCGATTGATAAATGATCAATAAATATATAAATATACAAGGTGTCCCTAAACTTAGTAGCATAAATTTAGGAGCAGATGAAAATAAGACGAAAATCTAAATAAATATTTTTCCTAATTACGTATGTTTAAAAGATACAGGGTGATAAAGTGTTACTTATCTTCAGCTTATTGTCCCATACAAGCTTTGAGGTTAGGTTTTTATACCATTTGATGCAATTTTTTGATTACTCAGTTCGGCCACTATTAAAAAGGTGTACATCTCAAACTTCGATAAAATAAACCGTTTCAGAGATATTCGAGATTACAATAATTATTATATCGCATTAAAGAACTAAAAGGTATATAAATTGTTTAATTGAAAAAACTACTATTTTTTTAATATGACGGTCACGGCAAAAAGTCCTGAGGCTCATGGAATGCCCTTTTTGGTTTTTTCAATTAAAAATTTTTATCATATACCTTTTAAATAATGCGATATAACAATTATTGTAATCTCGAATATCTCGGAAACGGTTTATTTTATCGGTAGCCGAACTGTGTAATCGAAAAATTGCATTAAATTTTTCAAAAACCTAACCTCAAAGTTTGTATGGGACAATAAGCTTAAAGCAACCCCCGTTTCTACGACACTGTGTTCACTCAAACAATTGTAATTATGTGTGAATATGTGTTTTGGTAGTAAGTGACTGTTCGCAAAATATCACCTTTCCAAGACTATCACAGTAGAAGTTATATTAAAAAAACTGATATGATAAGTAACGTTATAACACTTTATCACCCTGTGTCTTGGAAACAAAATTAATTAGGAAATAGTATATTATGTATCAAGTTTGATAAACTCCATAGAAAAGTTTATAAATGAGGTGCATACTATACTTTTTCTATGACAAATACTTATTATTATCTTAAAATGATTTAAATCAAAAAATTTCTATATATAGCGCCATCTATGAAACAATAGGGGAATCTGTATTTCACCGTCAAATGTCAAATTTTTACACAATTATAAAGATTATAAATCAAAATGAATTTCTTGAAAATTGACAGTTGTTCACAGTGAAAGTAAAGAACAGTATATTCTGTAACAAGTTTTGAATACAGCATATTCCGCTCGACGCTCACGAGAGCGGAATATGCAATTCCAAACGTGTTTCAGACTATACTTTTTCTAAGTTTCCAAAAAATACCATGGAAAAATAATTTAATTGGAAGAAAGTGAGGTTGGATCGGTCTAAAATTTGTTAGATATTAAAAACAGAGATGTCGCCACGAGTGTTTATTCTGTAATCTGATGATAGAATATTTCATTCTGTAGCACTTTACGGAATATATGTCATTCCATAGACAAAAGTTTTGTATGACATTTGACAACTGTCAACTAACTTAAAACTAACTTCAGCCCGTGACTAAAAACCTGTTGCTAGCTTAAGCCCGTGACTAAAGCGCCATTAAGCCACAACTTGTCAATGTGTATTTAAAAGGTCACTTAGGCCCAGTTGTATAACAGTTGGTAAACAGCTGGTTAACTCTTGATAATAATTATGTAATGATTAAGCTAACTTTTAAGTTGTATAAACATTGATTTAAATTTAATTAAGTGATTAACGTACAATTAACAAATCGGTGAATTTTGTGTGGTTAACGACGGGTTAGAACACACATAACCTTATAAATGTCAACGTTTACAAATTTTCATTATTTTTTTGTTAGTTTTTATCTGTGGATAATGAAGATTTTTTATAATTAGTAGAAATTGTTATTTTTTCTAGAAAACCGAAACTTTCGTGCTAGGCCTGAATATTTTACAGATTTAAATATAGAAGAATACAGAAACCGATTACGTCATTCAAAAAATATTATAACTTTTTGAAATAAAGAAATATCAGCCATAATTTCTTTAAGAACTTACCTTACAATTGCACATTAATGTATGCAATAAATAAATAAATACCAATATACTTACTAAAATCTTCCTAAACAACAAAAATTATTAGTATTAATTTGAGGAGGACCTGGTTAATTTGACAATTACGAAAATTATGACATGAAAATTACGAAAATTTGGTGATTTTTTAGTGAATTCCCCTAAATTGGAAAATTAACTAATTAAAACATAACCGAGTGTTGCACAACAAAATTTTCTTTAACCAGCTATTATTAATTAATCCGTAATTTATTAATCTGTTGTTAATCGGACTTTTATACAACTGGGCCTTAGTGTCATGGAAACATGTACGATAAAGGGCGTTTTAAAGGTGGGAGTAGAAAAAATATTTATTTAGGTTTTCGTCTTATTTATACTTGCTCAATATTTTCCTAAATGTATGCCAATAAGTTTAGGGACACCTTGTATAATTATATATATTATTTTCAGCGTTTACTTTTTTGTTCGGTCATTTTTACTGCATTCAAGATAACTATAAAATAATGTTTTGTGCTTTAGGAAACACATTGGGTGGAGACATATTTAAATCAATTTTATTAACAATATATAAAAATGGCAATAATATTTTTTTCACAATTGTCTATTTTCGGAGAATTGCCCATATTTGCTTAGGGACATAGTATTGACATGTTTGTATTATTTTCAGTTTTTGTTATAAGTGCAGTATTAAAAAACGACCATTTTCAAAGATTTCGGCCTATTTGGAGAAATAAGTCAAATGTACTATGTACTAAGTTTAAAAATTTGACGTGACTATCCGAACCGTAATTTATTACGCGAATTGTACAAAAAATTCAACATTATAATAAAATTAAAAAACATTTAAAGTCGTCGTAAAACGAATTTTGATAAACTTATTAATTTTTATCATACTCTAAAAACACCTTGTTATTACGCACTGGTTCAATTTTCTCTTTAGTTTGCGGACTTAATCAGACCACTAAACACGATTTAACAATGCTTCAATTACATGAATAATCATGGTAACCAAAATTTGGGAATTTATTCTGCCGTGCTAAGCTAAACCCCCGTATCTGCAATATTAAGGTTTAAAGGACAAAAGATAATTTTTATTGTTTTTAACAATGAAAATGATCTTTTGTCCTTTTGTATTTGTAATTATTATTAAACACTATTGATATACATAATATGTCATAAGGAATGGGAAAACAGATTGTATGAAATAGGTTATTTTCATATTTAAAATTAGGAAAACTTTTTACCGTACATAAAGGTATAATTTATTG